GGTAATTCTCCCCAGCCCAAAGCGCCGCAATATTGCCCTCCCTACTATGAGAGTTGTGCGCTTAAGCAGGCTCCTCACGCAGGCGGCGAGTAGGCGGTTGCGGTAGCGTCTCTAAGCAAGCTTCTCCATTACATTGGTCCATCCATCCGAGAGCAACCCCTCGGTACAAATACGAGACGATGGAATGCAATGGGATGGATGGTAGAGGGCTGCCTGCACCCAAAAGCGATGATTCACTTGTCCCCTTGTCCATAGGGACCTCGTGGAACAATCCTTTGCGAGATTGGATTTTTTTTATAGTGGAAATGCCACAAAGCGCGAACCAAGATCCGTAATACGAAAACCAAAATAAGAATGAGGAAGGGTCGGAGATAGATGAAACCAATCAGAAGTGCAAATCGCGCAAGCGAAGCCGGGAAACAGACAAAGAAAACCACTTCAAAGCCCTGATTCGACAAATACCTGTTGGTCGGGAGTAGTCTCGACGGGAACTTGAGAGCACCCCTTATCTCGAAGTTACGGGGTCATTTTGTCGAGTTCCTTCGATGGGAAGCTCTGGGTTATGCAAAATTGATGGGAAGCCCTCCCTACTACGAGAGCTGCTAGTTTAAGCAAACTTGTCAATAGTTTAGGCAGGAGAATTATTGCTTAACCGCCTGGGAGGTGAGTACGTGCCATCGCAAGAGGCCTCTCTACTACGCCAGCTGCGTGAGGCCTCTCTACTACGCCAGCTGCGTGAGGCCTCTCTATTACGTCAGCTACCTGCTTAAGCAAGCAGGACCATTATTCAAGCACGCAGGTTGGCGATTCAGCAGGAGATTGTGATTAAGCGGGCACGAGAAAGCCATTATTAAGCAGGCATGAGGCGGCTCCTAGCCAAGCATGTGGTGTCGGCAAAGTAGGGCAAAAGTGCATAATCAAGCCAGTTCCGATGGAAGTAAGGTGAGTGTAAAGGGGGTAAATTCTACACCTTACGGTTTTTCAAGTATTTGCTTTGAGTATTTTTAAGTGTTGATTTACGTGATGTGCGTGCAGTATTTGATTCATGTTTGATATTGCATTATTATGTTTGATGATATGTGCGATGGTTGAGCTGTGATTTGAAGTGAATCGTGGATGAGTTTATTTCTTACTAGAAGCTTGATGTCTATGAGTTAGTGTTAAAGTTTAAGAGCAAGTACTTTTTAAGAAGTAACTCACCTTCAAGAAGGTGAAGTCGTTTTAAGTGTTTTTAGTGACTAGCGCCAGTCCATTGTCATTTGAGATTTTCAGATAGAGCACCAGTTATGCTCTTGAGATCTTTGAGACAGAGCAGCAGTTATGCTCTTGAGACTTTTATGATGGGCAGCAATTATGCCCTTGAGAATCGTGGTGAAGAGCCACTACGATAAGTTTAAGATGTTAGGGGGATGAATCGTTACGACTTCCCTAACTAAGTTTAAGTTTAAGGAAAGCCTGAATGGCTTCTCATACGTATGAGTTGGCAACCAGACTAGCTAGTGAGGGATCCCAGTGTCGGTCAAGTATTTGAGTCAAGCTTTGATATTTAAGAGTGGAGTAATAGTAACTCCCATTCAGTTTTAAGAGTTAAGCTTTTTAATAGTGGAAGTGATCAAACATTGATAAGATGTTAAACGTAAGGGCGTAGACTGACCCCATCTCACTCACCAGTTTGTAGAACTAGAGGAAGAGCTAGAGGAACATTTAGTGGGCAGCGAGTTCGAGGGCAGCCAGCTAGAGGAGAGCAATATAAGCGTCACAGAGGGTGCCTAGTTAAGATTTTCAGTAGCAGCAATGACAGAGACTACCTAGTTGTTTGCATTTTATGATTATGAGTATAGACTGGAGATCAGATTGAGAATTTAAAGTTTGAGTTTAATTTGCCCACATGTTAGGGCTTTGCTAGTAAAAGTATTTGTTTTCAGTATTTTATTTATGAAAATTTTTCCCAGTTCCAATTTAAGATTTGAGTATTTTATTTATCAATGACATTTTAGTAAAAGTAGTACCCGACCGGGTTAGGGTGTTTCAAAAATATTGTTGGACTGCCCTGTTTTCACTGATTTCACGGTTTTTGCTTTCAATTCACCATCTTAGGAACCGTGAACTGGTGCCTTCGTCCATGAATTAAGGACACTCCAACTGTTTTAAAAATGCATCGTTTAACCCCAGTTCACGGTCTTACTGACCGTGAACGGGTGCCTCCATCCTTGAACTGAGGATGCTCCAACTGTTTTCAAAACTCATCGTTTAGCCCCAGTTCACGGACTGCACGCTATGTTCTCGGTCTTAGTGACCGTGTACTGGTGCCTCCGTCCGTGAACTGAGGGTGCTCCAACTGTTTTCAAAACTCATCGTTTAGTTCCAGTTCACGAGTGTGCGTTATGTTCTCGATCTTAGTGACCGTGAACTGGCTCCTCCGTCCTTGAATTGAGGGATCTACCTATAAAAGGGGCGTGAAAGACTCATTTCACTTCACGATCACCCCTTCGCTGGAATCTTTTGAATCTCACCAGAAAATTGCTATTTTCCTTTGATTTTCATCGATTTCGGACACTTTCGGCCACCCAAACCCAAAACAAAGCACAGACCCACTCTTCCCTCACCAAGGAGCACCTTCGCCAAAGTTTTGGGAAGGTTTGGCTCAATTTTTTTCCCGATGAGGCGATTTCCGGTGAGTTTCCGACGAGGCTCTAGTGAGAAACTTCTTTTTCTTCAGATTTTTAGAGTGGGAAAGTGACGAACCAAAGAAGAGGAGAAGCTACGGTTTCATCTTCAAGCAAGGATTTGGGAATTCCTAACCCAAAGGAGGATTTATTCAACACAAGGAGCAAGGCTAGCATCTCATTGATGGTTTTCCTTCATCTCTATTGTGTGTTCCTTCTCCTAGTATGGAATAGTCCCTTCTTTCACTTGGGTGTTTGTAAACCCTAGCTACAATTATGTGAATGCTTGTTTTGATTGAATGATTTGTGTGTGGATGTGTTTAATGTGAATGTGAAGGTATTTCATGCAAAATTGTGTTGTGTGTTTGCCTATCAATCTATGTCCCATTCTAACCTAGGCAGAGAGGAAACTCCATTTCTTTGAAAAAGGATTGCAAAGCTGGGTTTTCTTAGGCAATTCATTGTCTCCTATTTACGGTAATGTAGGGAAACCCTCTTATTTTGTATTAGGATTCTTCTTAGAATCCTCGAGGCTTTTCTCTTCATCTTCCTTTTTTCACCATCTTATTTCTCCTTCCCTTTCATGTCTTCAAGCACGGTTTGGAGGGCAAGGTGCCATGCAAGATCATAGAAAGGATTCTCTTGCTCCTCCACACTCGTGTCTTGGTCTTCAAAGTTTCTTTCATGAAGGGGAAAGTGTTGGGAGTCATCAATGCAACCTTCTTGTTCATCCTCACCACGGGAGCTCTCCGGGCTGAGTGCTTCTTGCTCCACACGGTTGTCATTGCTCGCCCTTTCAACCTCCTCATTCTCCTTCAATAATGAGAGGCGATAGCATGCACAGGCTTGTACCACCTTCTATTCTAGTGTCAAACCGGGAGGAGGGAGGGGTAGCAATTCCCTGTTGGAGCTTGTTCTTGCAAAATTCTCCACGGCAAGCTCCAACGTGGACTTCGCTTCGGGTTGTGGTAGATCCAAGTTCAAGCACCCTTCATTGATGCCTCGAACAAACTGCTCCACCATGAGCTCCAATTGGCTCTTCGGCTCCAGTTGTGGAATGGCGCATGGTATTGAAGATTGTCCCATAAAGGCTTCCATGGCAAACTCCAACTTGGATTTCTCCTCGGGTTATGGAGGGAAATATTCTTGATATGGGGAAGCCTCATCATACCCCCAATGGTATGGTTGTTCTTCTTGGAAGGGTGGTTGGTAATAGAACCCGGATCCTTGGCTTCCCCCTTCTTGTTCACTCCATGAAGCTCCGTGGTAACCCCATTCGGGTGGTTGTGAAAACTAAGAATACTACAAACTAAACTAGCAAGGAAAAGTAAATAAAGGAAAAGTCTAACTAAGGGAGCTTTACCCAGGAGTTGTTTCCACATAACTAGCTACCAAGTCTCATTGGATTGGAACGATTGCTATGGGCAAGGTAACCGCGAACCGTAGAGGGATGCAATATGGTCGTAGACCACAATCTCAATTGCTAAACCGAGGTAAACATTATAGGCCTTGTCACTCGGCCCTCTCAGTTTAGGCAATCGGTGGTTGACTTACTCCCTCACTCAACTTAAGGGTTAAACGACTTAATCGCGCTTAACCAATTTGCTTAATTCAACATTGAGGTTTGCCCTAAATTAACCTAGTTAGGTGGCTTAAAAAAGATAAAGGAAAACCAACTCGATTGAGTCTCACTTAAAAGGGAGTTTTCCTCTCTAATCTAGGTTAAAGTGGCTAATTAGATTGCTAAGCACCAACATGCACAAATATTAGGATGCTAAGCACAATTATGCACAATCCTTAGGTTTCTAAGAACCAACATGCACAAACCTAAGGATGCTAAGCACAAAACATGCACAACCCTTAGATTGCTAAGCACGAGCATGCACAATCAACATGAATAATATCTCAATTATTAAATTAAACAATACCCAATGACAATCATTCAATCAAAACAAGTTATTACAAAGTATTAGTTAGGGATCTACAACACCCAAGAGAAAAGAGTGAGTTTCTAGAGAGAGAGACAGAGAGGGATTACAATTTGAGCTCAAGATCTTCTTCTTCTTCTTCTTCTAGGCGTGTATTTCCACCAAAGCCTCCAATGATGCTCCAAGATCACTCTAGCACTCTCTCTCTCTCTCTCGCTAGAATTCCCCTTTGGTATTTTTGGGAAAACCCTAGAGAGAAAAACAAATTCTTCTCCAAAAACCAGCTCCCCTTTCTCTCTCCGTGTTGTTGTCTTCATATTGCTCGAAAGTGACCAGTATATGGACGCGTTGGCCACTTCACGGCCGTGAACACCTAAACTCTCCCGTGAACTCAGTGTCATAAAAAATGCACCGCTTCACTCTCCTGGGTTCAAGGTCAATGGCCTCAGTTCGCGGTCTTAGAGACGGTGAACTGCCTCGTCGTCAGTTACTTCTGGAACCTCATTGGACTGCTCGATGTTCACAGTTTGTGGTCCATGTTCACGGTCTTAGGAGCCTTGAACTGCATTTTCTGGCCGTGAACTGCGGCTACTTCCTTGACGCTTCACTTCACTGGTAGGGGGCAATTGTCACGGTCTTCGGACTTTTCATCGGTTTTTGCGCTTTTTGACCTCTAATTATCCCAAAACTCATCCTCGACCCTTCGACACGTGCTATGACCTGACATGTATAAAAACAAGCACAACCTAGCGTGAAAGAATGAGGGGTAAAATGTGTACATTTGGGCCAGAATCACACCCCCACACTTAGACGTTTGCTTGTCCTCAAGCAAACCAAGTACAAAACAAGGTAAGCTTACAACTTCTTTTTCAACACAATATTTGGGGCAAGTCATTGGGAACAAAACGAATGAATCACAATGGTTATTTGACACCAACCTATGGACAAAAACAAAGTAATCTTGGCAACCACCACAAACGAAATTCAACTATATTAAGATTATGCAAAAGAAGAGTTCTCACATTATTCACGAATTCACACACAACATGCCTCGACGACTCACCAATCGTAGTTACTCGTGCATGAAGATCACATCATAGGAACGAACGATCGAGCAACCTAGGTCCTCACCAGGGTATAAGAAATGAACAAAACATGATGAATGAATCACTCACTCTCGACCAGTGGGGTCAGGACCATTTGATGCAAAAGATGTGCATATTCACCCTCAATCCTAACGTCCCTTTATCATGACGGTAACCTCTAAATGTTAGAGTTCACAAGAAGGCTGTCGTTGCTAGGGTCTAGGACATGGGGAAAAGGATTTTTGGGTGATGGCAAACAAAACATGAGGTTCCACATCTTCAACCTAAGACACAAGGTTCTATGGTTTTGACTAGAACCTTTCCTACAAACAACAACCACTAGCATCGGCCTAAAACCGCACTTCCCACTATTCCAAACCACAACCAATCACCAAACCATATCACACATACTTACTTGCTACATTTTCTATTCAATTTTAAGCACAAGAGTGTAGAGGTCAACAACATGTAAGTTTTCATATGGCTTGCATGCTAAGCAACACTTCTAAGAGCATGTTCAACAATCATTATATTTTTGGTGGCCGCTCTCTTTTCTTCTTTGCTCTCTTATTGATCTTTTTTTCTTTTTACTTTTATTTTCTCTTTTCTATGGGGGCTATAGAGAGCTATATACACATGCCACATTTTTGAACTTAAGGAACAATGCTCACTTTGAAAACCTACCTCCACACTCACTTCACTTCTTAGCAAGACCATACACCAATCACTTATGTGGAACCTCGTTTAAGCTCAAATGATATGAATGGAGCTTCCAAACACAAGGGTGACTCGATAACGGTGTAGACATGAAGAAAGTAGTTCTCTATATCTAAATCAATCAAGCTCAAGTAGCGAGAGCGACCCTTAGACACACGGCTCAAAAGGGTTGACTAGGGGATAATGTGATCGGTACGGTCAACATTTGGGTCATGGACTAAACCTATGCCTCCATCTTCCTCGCTAGCAACGACGTGAATGCTAGGCATCATGTAAAGGGGGCTATCACACAAGAACGAAATGAACGACACAAGTCTCAAATGGCTACCTAGATGCTCAATCATTCATTCTCACTCCCTAAACTCGATGCATATGCAACTGTGAAAAGCAAGTAATCGATTCAAAACATCTATCGGTTCACAAACACATGAGAAATGAACCTATGCACAAACCTAATACATGTCTCAGTCGTCATCATAGGTTGCACATAATCACAAGCAAATCATCCATAGACCATGCTAATAACCACGAGATTCAAAACAAATCACCACAAAATGCCACTATGATCATACAAATGTGGAAGTTGTTATGCTTGGAGCCTTCAAATTTTAAATTTTTTGGCATACAACTATGCTCCAAGCATTCACAAATACACCAAACAATCACACACACATGCGTAGTGGACTACCCCCACACTTAAGCTCGACATTGCCCTCAATGGCGTAAAAGAAGGGGATAGAACGATGTTACCGGTCAAGTTATGAATGTTGGTGATCGGGAGCGGAGGGCGGGTGAGATCTGGAAGAGGAAGGAGATGGCAAAACACCACCAAAATCTCTTCATTGGTCGTCATATTGAAAGGAAAAGAGATGCAAAACCGTTGATGGTTGGCTTGCCTCCCACCAAGCTCTTCTTTAACGTTGTGAGTTGGAAGGTTGCTCTTCAAGTTTCGGTCCACCCAAGAACCTCCTTGAAGTTGAGGTTCTCGTCGGTGAGGTGATGTCTCAAGTCACGAGCATTGGACAAATCCATGATTTAGGGCTCATGAACTTGATCGACTTTGAGGCTCCACCCAGGAGACCTCTTCTTCTTACTTTCTTCACTTTTATCTTTGCCCCATAAAATGTAGTGCATCATCGATTTACCACCATCACATCCACCAATAGGGATCGCCGATGGTTTGGCCTTAGCTTGGCAAAGAGCCGCAAATGGGTCCTTCTCCAAAAGCGCTTCGAGGTCGGGTGGAAAGCTTTCATAGCTCTCGTAACTTGTGGATGCTTCATCCACCTCGACCTCGTCCTCATCTTGGACTCCACTTGAACCTTCTTTTTCTTCTTCAACCTCCCTTCCTTCTTCATCAATTTCCTCCCTTTGGGGAAACTCAAGGTCTTCCTCCTCTTCTTTCCTTGCTCTTCCGCAAGCAAGCGCTGAATAGCGAGTCTCCAAGCTATGTCTTCGATTGACTCGACACTCATCTCCTCATTGAGAACTCCCTCTCCAAAGCTTGGGGGTAAAATGTGTAAGAGTGGTGGCTTCCTCAAGAGGACATTCCAAGTATCGAGCATCATGGTGGCCATCCGTGACAACTTCCGACCGTTCCAATTCATCCTCGACGCTTTCCACTTAATCTTCCTTTTTTCACCCTCTTCATTCTCCTTCCCTTTCATGTCTTCAAGCACGGTTTGGAAGACAAGGTGCCACGCAAGATCATAGAAAGGATTCTCTTGCTCTTCCAAACTCGTGTCTTGGTCTTTAAAGTTGCTTTCTGGAAGGGGAAAGTGATGGGAGTGATCAATGAAACCTTCTTGTTCATCCTCACCACAAGAGCTCTCTGGGGTGAGTGCTTCTTGATCCACATGGTTGTCATTGCTCGCCCTTTCAACCTCCTCGTTCTCCTCCAATAATGAGAGGCGATAGCTTGCACAAGCTTTTGCTACCTTCTCTTCTAGTGTCAAACCGGGAGAAGGGAGGGGTTGGAAATCCGTGTTGGAGCTTGTTCTTGCAAAATTCTCCACGACAAGCTCCAACTTGGACTTCGCTTCGGGTTGTGGGAGATCCAAGTTCGAGCACCTTCATTGATGCCTCGAACAAACCACTCCACCATGAGCTCCAATTGGCTTTATGGCTCTGGTTGTGGAGTGGCACATGGTCCTGAAGATTTTCCCATAAAGGATTCCATGGCCAACTCCAACTTGGATTTATCCTCGGCTTGTGGAGGGAAATATTCTTGATATGGGGAAGCCTCATCATACCCCCAATGGTATGGTTGTTCTTCTTGGAAGGGGGGTTGGTAATAGAACCTGGATCCTTGGCTTCCCCTTCATGTTCACTCCATGAAGCTCCAAGGTACCCCCATTCGTGTGGTTGTGGATACCCCCACCTATTTTAGAAGCCATTGGGATCCATGATTCATAACCTACACAAACAAAAACACAAAAAGAAAATCAAACTAACACAAACTACCCTTCAACGAGAAGAGTGGGTAAGCAAAACACAACACGAAACATAAAACACAAACAAAAAGGCAAGATAGAAAATTCTAGAGTAACACTAAGTGACCTTTTCAAAATAATGGCCCGCGGTTCCCCGACAACGGCGCCAAAAACTTGACTCGCACGAAACTACACCACAAATTAATCCCGACAATAGTCCAAGTTTTTAAACTCTAGTTGGGTGCAGTATAGAGCAAGTATTTAAATATCAACTCGGGCCGGTCCATGTACCCCTACTTCAATCGCTTAAGTTGTTATCTAGAAAAACAGTTTTGGGTTTTTAATCTAAGAAAAATACAAACTAAACTAGCAAGAAATAGTAAATAAAGGAAAAGTCTAACTAAGTGAGCTTCACCCAGGAGTTACTTCCCCCTAACTAGCTACCAAGACTCGTTGAATTGGAACGATTGTTATGGGTAAGGTAAAAGCGAACCGCAGAGGGATGCAAATATGGTCGTAGACCACAATCTCAATTGCTAAATCGAGGAAAACATTATAGGTCGTGTCACTCGACCCTCTCGGTTTAGGCAATCGGTGGTTGACTTACTCCCTCGCTCAACTCAAGGGTTGGACGGCTTAATCGTGCATAACTAACTTGCTTAATTCAACATTGAGGTTTGCCCTAAATTAACCTAGTTAGGTGGCATAAAAAGTTAAAGTGGCTAATTAGATTTCTAAGCACCAACATGCACAAATCTAAGGATGCTAAGCACAATTTTGCACAATCCTTAGGTTTCTAAGCACCAACATTCACAAACCTAAGGATGCTAAGCACAAAACATGCACAACCCTTAGATTGCTAAGCACGAGCATGCACAATCAACATGAATAATACCTCAATCATTAAATTAAACATTACCCAATGAAAATCATTCATCTAAACAAGTAATTACAAAGTATTAGTTAGGGATCTACAACACCCAAGAGAAAAGAGTGAGTTTCTAGAGAGAGAGAGAGAGGGAGAGAGGGATTACAAATTTGAGCTTAAGATCTTCTTCTAGGCGTGAATCTCCACCCAAGCCTCCAATGATGCTCCAAGATCACTCTAGAACTCTCTCTCTCACTAGAACTCCCCTTTGGTGTTTTTGGCAAACCCTAGAGAGAAACCAATTCTTCTCCAAAAACCAGATCCCCTTTCACTCTCCCCTTTGTTTTCTTCATATTTTCCCAAAAGTGACCAGTTCACGCACGCATTGGCTAGTTCACGACCGTGAACACCTAAACGCGTCCGTGAACTCAGTGTCGTCCAAAATGCACCGTTTCACTCTCCTGGGTTCACGCTCAATGGCCTCAGTTCACATTCTTAGAGACCATGAACTTCCTTGTCGGCAGTAACTTCTGGAACCTCGGTGGATTGCTCGATGCTCACGGTTTGTGGTCCATGTTCACGGTCTTAGGATGCCGTGAGCTGCCTTGTCTGGCCGTGAACTCAGGCTATTTCCTGGACACCTCACTTCACTATTACGGGGCAATTATCACAGTCTTCGGAATTTTCTTCTATTTTTGCGCTTTTTGACCTCCAATTATCCCAAAACTCGTCCTCGACCCTTCGACACGTGCTAGGTCCTGAAATGTATCAAAACAAGCAAAACCTAGCGTGAAATATGTCGAGGAACGATGAAATACTAAGCTAAATGAATAAGAAATGAGGGGTAAAATGTTTACATTTGGGCCCGAATCAATCTTCAAGTCAAGTTCACGGGCTGAGAACACAAGATTGCGGCCGAGATCTTTTCTCTCCTGGCTGCGATCTTGTGCTTTGGTTCAAGTCCTCTCTTCATGGCTAAAATCTTATCTCTAAAGGCTGGGATCTTGGTTCCTTCCACCATGATCTCTAGTTTTGCCCCTTTTTCTACACTTGTGACCTTATCTTGTACCTGAATCGCACATATCGACTAATACACCCTAAAATTACATTGAATTCAAATAGGAATGAAATAGGGATGTTATCGACGATGTTTTAGCATTTAAGCACATGAATTGGCACAAAACATACCTCGATATGGAGTAGGGGTGGGCATTCGATCGGTTCGGTTTCGACCGAACCAAAATTATGAATACCGGGTTCCCAAATTCTCCCAAACCTCAAACCGAATTCGAACCGAATTATAATTCGGTTCGGTCGGTTTAAACCAAACTATAATTTGGTTCGGTTTTTCACACAAAACCGAATTTGTGAAGCTACTTGTATTTTCTCACTTTTAAATTATTTTTCACCCCTAATATAAACAATAAATATCAATTATATGCATCATCAATGATAAAACCAAACTTTTCAACACATAAGTCATAAAACATTTCAAATATTTAAGTCTAAAAACAACTACAAACATAAAAATCGACCATTTGGAGCTTGCAATTATAGTATTTCGGTTTTTCGGTCGGAAATTCGGAAATTCGCTTCGGTAGAAAGAACCCTGTTTCCGAACTATCCATATTTTCCTTCCGAATTCCGAACTGAATAGCATTAATTCGGTTTCGGTTCGGTTTAATTCGGTTTTGGTTCGGTTCGGGTTTACCGAACCGTTTGCACACCCCTAATATGGAGGGTGAATAACACCAATTTTGGTGTTATCAAGTTGATGGATGGCTTGAAGATCAACAGAATGCCTCAAGATGACTTGTTAAATAAGTTCATGAACCGATATTTTCCATCTTTCAAGACGGTGGAGTATTGGAAGAAGATCACCCAATTTTCTCAAGAGGTTGACGAGACTTTAAGGGATGCATGGGAGCGCTATTCCGATCTCTTTCACCGAAGTCCACACCATGGTTTTGAAGAGCAATTCTGGATTGAGACATTCTACAATGGTCTCTTCGAAGAAGATCAAACACTTATTGATTCTATCTATAAAGGGAATATACTCAACAAGACTCTGCTCCAAATGACGACATTGTTTGAAGAAATGGCCGCAAGGGACTATGATTGGGTGATGACAAGGCATGGAAGGAAGATTAAAGAGAGAGGAGTGCACTCCACCGAAGCAACTCCTCCACTTGCGGCAAAGATTAATGAGTTCATTAAAGTGATTTTTCATGATAGGAAACAAGGGAAAAGTTCGCTTATGGTTGTGATTGGTGTTCAAGTCCTAACCATGAAGTTGAAGATTGTCAAATCATGAGGGAGGCGAGCACTCTGAAAGAACAAGTGAGCTTTATTGCTAATTCTAGGGGGCTAGTTCAAACAACAACCCCTATAGCAATACATAGAATCCAGGGTGACACAATTATCCCAACTTTGCATGGTTCTGACCATCCAATTCGAAACAACCCAATTTTCAAGGACCAACCCGAGTTTACTAACCACCAATACCTCTAATCGTTCAACAAAGGCCCCAGTTCCAATATTCTAAATTTCACCAAGAAAAATACCAATCGCAAGTTGTAAAAAGGGTTTCAACAACAACAACAACCCGATAGGTTAGCTTGAAGACCTAGTCACAACCTTTATGGGTACAAGTTCTCAAAAGTTTGAGAAGATTGAGAAGTTCATGGAATTCACAACAAACAAGTTTACTTCGGTTGAGTCGGGTTTAAGAAGTCATCAAAAAATCCTTAAAAACTTGGAGACTCAAATTGGCAACCTTCCGAGATCCTCACTGAGAGACCACAAGGAGCTCTACCTTCACGAACCGTTGCCAACCTGAAAGATCCAAGCGTGGGCGTGCATGCTATTACACTAAGAAGCGGGAAGGTAACTCAAGATGTTGAGACAAAGGAAGTAATTAAAGAAAAAAAACCCCTCCAAAGGTCGATAAGTAAAGGATGAAGAGGCTAAGAAGGTATCGCCGATGCCACCTCTCGTTGCTGAGTACAAGACTCCGCTTATTGTTAGTGAAAGTAAGCCTTCCAAGGAAAACCACACTTGTGCTCCTTGTTTTTTGTGTTAATGTGAAGAAGGATTTGAAGGCGGGTGCAAAACCCGAAGTTAAAAAGAAGAAGGAGCAGCGCCAAAAGATGAATCTCGCATTTTCCCGCAAAAATAACAAGGGCAAGGCAAAAGCAAGTGGCTATAAGGTCCATCCTTAAAAATGGTGATTCGAGGTGACAAGTGAACATGTATTTGAATATGTTTTTCCCTTCATTTCATGATCGTTTGAGCTCGCTTTCTCGCTCTCGTGTCCTTTTTTACGCTAGGTTGTGTTGGTTTGTGATGTTTCAGGTCCTAGTACGTGAATGGGTGCGAACGAGCGAGTTTTGGGACAACTTGGAGCGAAAGGGAAGCGAGTAGGAAAAAGTGACTGCTAGACCGTGAGAGTTGCAGTCTGGACTGTAACTTCCTCAATGAGCTTGTAACTTCTGGAGAAGCGGGGGTGAGATTCCAGGAGGTTTCTTGAAGTTACGGCCCCAGGCTAGCAGCTCTCCCCCTTGGCTTCTCTCCAGCGCAAGGAAAGCAGCGTCGCCCGCAGCCGGCTCCCACACCGTGTGCCCGGCGACGAGGTTTGAGAGCTTGAACATCGATCAACGAGGAAATAGACGTCCCAGGCCATCCAATCTAGTCTTATGCACGTTCTATAGGTAAGAGACCTCGATCCCTTTGAGTTAGATCGATCGATTTGGTGATTTTTCGTGAGAGTGCAATACTGGGTTTTTAGCAACAGGCTTTTAGTGACATATTTTGGTTGCTCACTAAAGCTGTTGGGAATTTTCAGAAACGTATTTTTAGATGTTTTAAATTGTTCCGAGCCACTGTGGGTTGTTTTTTCTGGATTTAACAATTTTATAAATTGAGGGACGTCTTGGAGATGTTTTTAATTTAATTTTGGGATTTTTGAATATGTATTACTAATTTTAGAAATTGGTCGAATGTTCGTTTTAATTAAATAAAAATATTTCCGAAGGTTTTTTAAGTGTTTGATAATTTTCCAGGGTATGCGTTTGCATGATTGACATGGAAAAATTATTATTAGAACTTTTAAGAAGGTTCAAGGAAGGTGGAAAATTCGTCCAATACGAAGTTAATTATGAAAAATGGTCGGTTTTGAGGGGTTTGCTTTTAGAAGATTGTTAAAAGAGGTGGGGTTTGCCTTCAGAGGCTCTCCTCCACTCTCATTCACATCATTTGAAACCACTTCCTTCACTTCATCACTCCTAACCTTAGTGTCAATTTCAAGCTTGATTCTCTCCTTACCATCCCTCAGAATCAAGGTCCCGTCATTTACGTCTATCAATGCCTTGGCGGTGGCAAGAAAGGGAAGACCGAGTTATCCAAGTCCTCACTTATGTCGAGAATCACAAAATCGGTCGGATAGCAAAACTTGCACACTCTCACCATCATGTCCTCCACAATACCCCTCGAGCTAATGACTGAATGGTCGGCTAAGGTGATGCTAAACTTAGAGGTCTTAAGTTTACCTATTTCTAACTTTTTGAAAAGCTTGTAGGGCATCACATTAACATTACCTCCTAGGTTCGTGAAGGCATTGTCTATATGATGGTTACCAATATAAGGAGGGATAGTAAAACTACCTGGCTCATACCGCTTTTTGGGCAAGCGATTGAGGAGGTAAGCCGAACACTCCTCACCAAGAGTCACGTTGGCAAGGCCTTCAAGCTATGGCTTCTTTGTGAAGAATCCTTTGAGGTACTTGGCATCTGAGCCATGGGTTCAAGGAAAGGGATGTGGAGGTGGAGGTTGCGGAGTATTTCCATGAAACCTCCATACTCGTCCTCCAACTTGAGGAAGCTTGAGCCTTGGACTTGAGGTCTTTGTTGGATGAAGGTCGACCGAGGTTGGAAATTTCCCATGGGGGCCTGAAACCGGGGGCCTCGGATTTGTCGGCGATGCCCAAGAAAAGTTGGGGTGGTTCCTCCATCCGGGGTTATAAGTATTGCTATACGGGTTGTTGACCCTAGCATTTGCCATGAAGTTTACTTGTTCCTCCAGAGCGGTTGCCTCCTTCATTGCTTGACACTCCGCCATCTCATGACGCATGCTCGAGCACCAGTCGCACGAAATCACCAGCCTTTTCCCTTGCCTCTTATCTTCAAGCATAACCTCTATAAACTTATCCAACTTCGCCTCAAGCGGAGCACTCGCTCCCACGCTTCTCACTCCCCTATCATTGCTTCTTTTTCTACTTCTAGTCAACCCCCAATCGTATCTTCTGAGGGTTATGTCTTCAAGTATCTCGGCTATTTTTAGGCGGAGCCATATTCATCAATTTCCCTTGACACAAGGAGTCAATGAGAATTTTATCTTCTTGCATTAGGCCTCCATAGAAGGTTTTGATCCGAAACTGTTCTTCAAACCCGTGGTGAGGGCAGTGAAGAAAATAGTCGGAGTACCTCTACCAAGTATCCCTCAAGGTATCGTCCTCTTCTTGCTCAAAATGGGTTATCTTCTTTCTCCACTCCGCCATCTTCGGAGGCTGGCAGTAGCGAGCCACAAACTTGTTGAGGAGGCCGTCCCATGAGGTGATTGACCGAGGTGGGCGATTGTTCAGTCACCTAAGTGCTTTCCCTGAGTGAGTATGGGAAAAGCCTTAGTAGCAAAGCTTCGCATGGCACACCATTGATTTTCAAGTCCTCGCGAGCTCCAAGAACCTCTGCACACGCTCTCTTGGTGACTCACTCTCAAGGCCGTGGAATAAAGCATTGCTTTGTATCATAGTCACTAGAGCCGACTTGATCTCGAAATTGTTTGCCGCCATCAGAGGATTTAGGATTGGCGATTGAATCTCCGCCGACCTTGGGGCCATATAGTACCCCCATCATCCTCGGGGGCTTCCTCTTCCTCCGCCGCATCGTTCAGCTGACGAGCGTGGGTGGCTCCATCTAGTCTTTGGTTCCCCGCCATTTATACTACAACAACGGGTTCAACTTCCACTTCTTCAACTTCTTCTCCACTAACACCGGGACCCAAATGTTGTCCCCTTCTTTCACTCCTTCTCATTGCCACCGCAAGCTCTCTCTCCCTTCCTATGAGCCGGAGAGTTTGATTTATGTCCTCGTCAATTGGTAGCAAAGGTGACGGGTTACTCCGGGTCATGCACCACCTACACACAATCGGAAAACACACCAAGTCTAGCACAAGCAAAGCACACACACTTTCAAAACTGGAAATTAAAAGCAAGATTAACAACAAACGACTTTTTCAAGATAACAGACCGTTGTCCCCAGCAACGGCACCAAAAAATTGACTCGTCCCGAATACCACAATAATTTCCGGCCTAAGGTCCAAGTATAAACCTTAGTTGGGGTGCATTACAGGATAAGTATGTTTAAATGTCAACCCGGGTCAGTCCGTCTACCCCTACTTCAGTCATTTGAATCATTATTTAGCAATAAAGTTTTGGTTGAAAAGATTGCTAATTAAAGTAAAACAAGACAAAGGTGAATGGTTTTGAAAGGTCTTTTGTGGAAGGATCACTCGAGTGTCGCTTCCCCCCAACTACTACCATGGTATGTGAACCGAAATGATTGTTGTGGGCAAGGTGATCGCTAACCGCCAGGGGACGCAAATATGGTTGTAGACCATGCTCATGATTGCTAAACCGAGGCATGCATTATGGGCTGTCACTAGGCCCTCTTGGTTTAGGAAATCAATGGTTGACTTACTCCCTCACTCAACCCAAGGGGTTGGGTGGCTTAATCGCACTTAACCAAATTGCTTAATCCAATATTGAGGTTTGCCCTAAATTAACCTAGTTAGAAGACTTAAAAAGCCCTAGGGATACCAACTCAATTGAGACTCCCTTGGAAAGGAGGGTTTCCCTCTCCAGACAAGGTTCAATTGAAAAGAATTCTACTCCATGTTAGAAATGGGAGAAACACAAGGAGAAGGGGTAGAAAACCTCTTCGAGGAGGCTTTCCAATCTTCTTGGCCCTTGTATTGAACTTTCCTTGGAGAAAATCTTCCCAAAATCCACCTTGGAGCAAAACCCTAGCCTCCTTCTTCTTTGGTTCGTGTTTCTCTCTCCAGAAATCAGAAGAAGGATTTCTCACTCAAATGGGCTCTCCCCTCTCTCTTCATTTCAGCCCAGCTTTTAAACAGGGAACCAGTTATGTTCACGACTCCAGTTCACGGCCGTGAAGACTGAAACGCGTCTCTGAACTCCAATTGGGCGCCGAAACGCACCGCTTCACTTGCTTGTGTTCACGGTCCACAACTCTTGTTCACGGTCTTAGTGACCGTGAACACGTCTTGCGTTAGTAACCTCTGGAAATGCTCTGGACGCCTCGAGGTACACGGTTAACAACTCCTCTTCACGGTCATGTAAGACCGTGAACATCCCTAGAAAACTGTGATCTCGCCCTTTTTCACCTCTTCTCCGGGTTTTCGATCCTTTTCGTCCAAATTTCGACTACGAGGCTGGTTTCACCTGTTAAATCCTGAAACACACTAAAACAGGAGAAACCTAGCATAAAATCAACCTTCTAGGAGAGAAGTTGCCATAAACGCCTAAGGAAAATGGGGGTAAAACATGTACATTTAGTCTCGAATCATTGATCTTTCGGACCCTTAGTTCCGCCATCTACGTCCAGCTAAATGACGATAGAGAAGCGCTTGTGGGGAAGCAACCCCACCTTGGTTTGTGATGACTCAATATTTACACATGTTTTCCCCATTATTTCTTGATCGTTTAAGCTTGCATTATCGCTTCTTTGGCCTATTTTACGCTAGGTTGTGTTTCTTTGTCACATTTCAGGTTGTAGCTCATAAACTGAAGTATATGCGCAAGTTTCAAGTCAATCGGAGATCAATTGGCAACTCAGGGGCAGATACTCGTGCATGACTTGGATAATAATGGATTTCTACCTCATTTTGTGAACAGATAATCATGTAAGCTCTTCATGAAATGAAATAGTACGAGACTACAAGCGTCTGGGATCAAATGACACCTAATTTGGAGTCGGAACGAGGGAGAAACGTAGAATCAAGACAGGGGACCTGAAATTGAAAAATAGCCGGTCAATAGGGTCAAAATACCCATCTAATAGGGTATTTTGATTAGAACTCAAAAGGCCCCCAAGTCATGAACAAAAAATACCTGATCGGGTATTTTTCCTTTTGCCCAAAAAATTTACCTAGAGAGTTTTGATGATATCCAGTCTGATCTCATAAATACCCGAACGAGTAATATGACCGGGTAACTTCCAGAAGCGGGTTTAAAAGCTCGTTTTGTGCGTTTTTGGAGGCAGAGAGCTGGGCTTTGGGTCTCAAACGCCCAAGGGACGAACCAAATTGAAAGAGGGCGATTGGAGGGCAATATTGGAGTGAAACCGGAGGATTTCTTCGCCTTGGAAGATCGAGGAACAAGCCCGGACTTGAAGACTGATCATCTGAAGATTCTTACTGCAGTCTCTCTCTTCTCTATGGAGTAACTTCCCTTCACTTAGGTTTTGAGGAACCCTAGTTATGTTTGTTTGATTGGATTATTGTATGAGTACTCTTACTTGATAATCTTGATTTCATATTGAATCTATGCATGTTTTCATGATTCAATTCTGATTTAGTCGAGATTATTGGTTCTGCTTTGATCCTATGAGAGCGAATACATGTTAGGTCAACAGGGAACCATAGATTGATAGTATTGGATCGATTCCTTTAGTCGAGGGTTTATTCAATGCTTTATATCAATTGAGAACCTCATTCGATAGAGGGAATCTAGTTCACAATGCCTTGATCGGTTGCTCTAGAGAAGGATACGTCCCTCTAGGCAATTGACTCAAGAGGGCCTTGTTCCTTTAGTTGAGACTCAAGGTCTAGTTAAGGATTCTCCGCATTGTGAATGAAAGTGAAAGAGGTTAGAGATCATCAATCATTAATCTGGCTAGTGGCTAGGGGGAATCATACCTAAGTGAGTTCTCAACCAATAATTAGATTAACTTTAACTATAGTTTGCTAGAGTAGTTTGAGTTGTTCTATCTTAATATGGTTTGCTAGATAATGAATTGAAGCTTAGTAATAGTAACTCTACACACCTGTGGAATTGATATTTAATACTTGAGCCCCTATATTGCAGTCCCTTTCATTGGTTACACTTGGCCTTTGTTAGGAGTTGTGTTTTAACGAGTCAAGTTTTTGGTGTCGTTGTCGGGGAATTTTCTATATTATTAGGAAAGACAGAAGTTTGCTACTTTAGTGTTTTTCTTTTCTATTCCACCCTTGCTTTTCACATGGGTATTTTTGTTTTTGTTGGTGCAGATCTGAATCATGGATCCTCATGGCTTCTCCAACCATTGGGGGTATCCACCACCATCCGAGTGGTATTACCTCGAGACTTCTTAGAGCAATCAAGGAGGGGAAGACCTCAGATTTGGGTTTCAGTACCAAACCCCCTACTACGAAGGACAACTTGACCCTTTTGCACTTCAAGAACCATCCCCTTATCAAGAAGAATTCCTCCCACAATCAGAAGTGTCATTGGAGCTGGAGTTAGCCATGCTACACTCCACAGCCAGATCCGAACAGTCAATTGAGGCTTCTCATGGAGAAGTTTGTTCGAGACACTGAGAGATCCTTTCCCAAGATGGACCTCCAAATCCAATCCATTACTCCTGACCTTTCCTTTCTCCGTGAAACAGAGGAGGCTGTTTAATACTCAACGAAGCAAATAAAGTGGGTTGAGCAATTTGTGCACAGCTTACTCAAGATCACCTTTCTGCTTCCATACAAGAAGAGAAGGAGGATGAAGGAGGCTACAACCGATGACACCTCCCCACATCCCACACCGAGCTTTGAAGAGGCGGGCATGAGTGAGGAGATGCAAGATGATCTCATCGAAGAATTTGCTTGGCGACTTACTCTCCAAGTTACAACAGGACATTCTTGCTGGAAGAAGAAGAGCGAGAAAGGGGGCGGAAAGAAGCTGTGGAGGATGACAAAAGTGAAGCAGAAGGAGTTCTTCATCTTTTCCCAAGGGTGATACCACATTTTGAAGAAGGAAGGGGGTTGAGGAAGCAATTGGCGTCCAGCCTCGGGAAGAAGTTGAGGTGGAAGAGGCTTGCACCGGCCCTATGTTACAACTAATATCTCCACTAAACTTCGAGGAACAGCTTGGCAAGGACCCGTTTGCAGTGTCTCTGTGCAAGACCAATACCACATCGACATTGGTCCTTCTTGGTGGACGCGATGGTAGTAAGTCGAAGTTGTTACCAAACTTCGAGTAACAGCTTGGCAAGGACCCGTTTGCAGTGTCTATTTGCAAGACCAATGCCACAATGACATTGGGCCCTCTTGGTGGACGTGATGGTAGTCAGCCAAAGCTGTTATATCTGGTTTGGGGCAATGAGACAAGAGACGAAACGAAAAAGAGGTCTCGAGGGTGGAGACTTCATATGCATCAAGTGCATGAGATTCCATCACCTGTCATATCACATGCACGTGACTTGAGACTCCACCTCATCGATGAGAATCTCAACTTCATAGAGGTTTTGGGGTGGATCAAAACTTAGAAGCAATCGTCCGGCTCATGACGAGAAAGAAGCGCTTGTTGGGAGGCAACCCAACCAGTCGGTTTGCATTTCTTTCCCTATTTCTCTTCGGTTGAGTTAGTTTTCTTCATTTATATTAGAGTCAATAACTCAACCTTTGTGAGATTTTATGTAGTGTTTGTGTTTCGACTACTCTCTCCGCCTGGAATGCACCGCCTGCCCCATCCACCATCATCCACACTTGATCTTGTAACTTCATTCTACCCTCCTTATTTTTCCTCCATTGAGGAAAGTGTCGTGCTTATGTGTGGGGGGATGTTCAATTATATATGCGTGTGAATGTTTTGCTGTATGTAACTGCTTAACGTGTCTGGCACCATTCTGTAGACAGCA